GTGGAAAGTACCTTTTTCTCATGAACGGTTCTAGTTCCTCGCCCTGGGCTCTCGCCATGGACACTATGAAAACCACTTACATCGTGCTGGAACTGATCATCGCTGTGCTCTCCATCGCTGGCAATGTCCTGGTCTGCTGGGCCGTGGCCATCAACAGCACCTTGAAGAATGCCACCAACTATTTCCTGGTGTCTCTGGCGGTGGCTGACATTGCTGTGGGTTTGTTAGCCATCCCTTTCGCCATCACCATCAGCATTGGATTCCAGGTGGATTTTCACAGCTGCCTCTTCTTTGCCTGCTTCGTGCTGGTGCTGACCCAAAGCTCCATTTTCAGCTTGCTGGCAGTGGCCATCGACAGGTACCTGGCTATTAAGATCCCGCTGAGGTAAGAGGCTGCAGTGGATGGAGGTAGCCACATTCCCTGAGAGCCCAGACCGTGATCTTCCTTGTCTTAGCGTGCAGGAACTTCTGGTCTCTAGCATTGCTCTCAGGGGGTTGAGGTTCATGGGTGATGATGAAAATAACAGCTATTTTGAACTCATTTGCTGCAGAACTTGGATCAGGGTTTCAGTATCCTGCCTTTTACTTCAAAATGCACCTGAGAGCTTAGCTTCTGGAGGATGTCTGCCCTGGGAGGGTCAGTGGCTTCTTGGTGGGGTGATTCAGGAGTGTGCTTGGGATAGTTGTAGCAAATCTATGCAGGTATTTATACAGCCCCCATTACTGTGGTGTCTGGGCATCCCCCAGGTAACTAAATATAGGAGCACCCACTGTTTCTCCTATTTCCCAGCCTATTAGAGAAGCAGTTTTCAGACTGTTCTGTAAAAGTTCTTGTCTCTTCCGCAGCTCAGGTCACAACACGTTCAGAAAGGCTGAAAGTCATCTTAAATAGATCTTAATACGACTTCGTATGTACTTCACATTTTTAGCTAGGACTAGAGTCTAACTAGGCTGTCTTCCAGTTTTTAGGGGACTAGAATTAGACTGAAAGTGCAATTTGTTGTATCTATAAATGCTGAAACCATATTTCCATGCTTGCATACCTACCTTTTCCTTCTGAGTGCTTATCATGAGTGTATAGAGCAGTGAATGTCAGAAAGTGTCAGCTCTGTGCATACACTGGGAGAGGAGAAAAGGGAAGGAGAAAGGATTCACACATCACACTTCACAATTTTACAGTTCAGACTTCCACCCAAGTGCAGCATCAAAGACATAAGCTGGTTTCCTTGTGATTTATGGGATATGGCAACATAATGGGGAAAACTATCAAATACAATCTACAGACGCTTCCCCAGTGAGTTGCTGCAGCAGCTGCCTTAAGTTTAAATGCACCGAAACCCTGGCTTTGCATTACAAATGACCCGAGTCCATTAGTCTCAGACTCCTTCATGTCTGTCTTGTCCCTCCCTGTGAATAAGACACATCATTGATGGAGCGGGAGTCCAGGACTGCTCCGGGATTGCTGTAGGGACCTCAGCTGAACTGTGTGAGCTGCAACTTTCCTCCATTCTGCTCATCTTTGGTATCTCCTTTGCATGAGTGATGACCTAAAATAACTTATAAAACCCCTTTCACCCTGTTCTGGCACCTTGCGCTGGAGAACCCCCATCTGCTGGGCAAATATGAATCAGTCACCAGGCAGATGATGAAGACGGGCAGTGGAAATCCGTGTGTGCCGAGTGTGTCAGCAGAGCAGCGCACACGGAAATTCCACGGGGTGTAGAGCAGATCGGCAGCACCCATCGGTGCAGAGGGAGCAGGGTCAGAGCATTCTCACCCCTGCCAGGACCTCTGGCACGGCCGCTTGGCTTCACAGCCACCCGCCTGCACTGGGAGACACTGGTCCGGATAACGCTGTTGGCGCCTCTTCCATCCCTTCCTTGGGGCTCTCTCGGGACGGGGGCTAACGGCAGGGGAGCAGGTTGGAGATTTTAGGTTTCAGTTTAATCACAAACAGGCTGTTCAAGCACGGTTGTAACTCTCATCCTTTACATCACAAGGGCTTTTTGCAGTGCTTGGCTGAGGAAATTGGATCTTGTGAGATCCTGTGGATCTTGTGAGGAATCTGAAGTGTACCAGCTCTGAAATGCTCTGATGGGACCATTCACACGGTTGTGGAAGGGAAGTGATTCTGCTGACTGACAAGATAGCGAGTATTTCTTCCACTCTCTTTTCTTCTTATTTCCCCCCAATCCTGGTCTCTAGCAGCTTTGCTCAGCTCTCCAGGAGGTCAGTTCATTCACCTGTGGGGGATGACATCCCAGGGCAATTTTGCCTTGCTTTGGGATCCTTTCCTAACATTGCTTTTTCACCCCCTCTTAGGCCAAATCTTTTATTCCATTTGCACAAACATCTTTATTCCTATGAGTGCCTTCTAGTCCCTTCATCTGTAAAAGGAGATCAAGGAGTCCCATCCTAGGCTGGTCTAAAGTATGAAGTTTGGATTAAACTTGGTCTTGGCTGAGGCTCATTTTATTGTTTTCAGAGGTGTCAAAGAAGTAAAACTCCTTTGTAAGAAGGGAGGTTTCTCCCTGCAGGGCAATGGACAGGGCACTGTTTTGGCAACAGGAGATTTAGAGACTGGTACTGAAATGCTGCTTTTATTTGTACAACCGAGATCAAGAGAGGGTAGGGGAGGTTATAGAACTACACTGGCAAAACACTTCTCCACTGCACCAGGGTTAGAGCTGTCTCATCAGCATCATTACTTCTGAGATGCTCCACAGTGTTGCCAGCAGCAAGCAGGAAGGGACTTGTCCGGCCACACGCGCTGGGTAGATGCACGTGGTGTTTCTGGAAGAAGGTTTGTGCTGCGGAAGGGGAAAGGTGTGCACCAGTTTGCAGGAATGGAAACCTTAGGAAAAGTGTTTCTCACTGAAATGCTCTCTCTGGAGACCTGCACAGGGGCTGATAACAGGCCATGAAGTATTAAATGTCTAAGAAAGTGGTTTTGCCCCAGCCCTATCTAGCAATTCCAGAACAGTTGTGGCAGAGCAGACAAGTGTCCATGCTGCATCCAGTGCTCCACCAGCTCCCTGTGGAAATCTCTGCAGGGACACTGTGAACTGACTGTGCCGTATTACTTAATACAATTTCAGGGCTATTTAAGCACACTGAGAGGCTGGGGGGGCGCAGGAGAAGTTTGCATTACAGCCAGGCTAATAATGGATTTTTCAGTTCTGTGGCTGAACCAAAAAATCCCCTGGGAAAGAGGGAAATTATTCCAGTCAAACTGCAAGAGCGGTATTTGGAGGTTTTGGTGAAACAAAGTGATCCTGACCAACCTGGCAGATTGTTGTTTGAGCTGCTTAACCCTCCCAATGTCATTGTGCTGCTGTCTGAAGTGGTGGCATCCTCGCTGGGAAGGAATCATAAATTCTTATCTAGACAATTGCAGAACAAAAAAAATCTCGGAACATTTAAAAATGGTGGTTTTGAACCCTCCCTCTTCTGGCTAAAAATATTTTCTGGATTTGACCTGGAGCCATGAATTCCTTCTGTCCCTTGAAACTCTGATTTTGTTTGTTTGCTTTTAACAATTCACTGTGTGTGGAGGAGCCCGTGCTGCCCACTTTGTGCAGCTGCAGCTCTGAGCCCTTCCCCGGGGCCCTTTGCACAGCTTCTTGTCCTCAGACACGCTCTAACCCTGCTTTGCTTTCCACATGCCCCTGGACCTCCGTGCTTCCAACTAGGCAGCACTGCTGCCTCTGTGTGCCCATCCTTGTAGTGCCCCGGGTACATGGCACCACCCCTGCTCCCCTCTGCCAACCCAACCCCCAAAACCATTGCACTTCCTCCAAGCAGAGTAGCAAATCCAGGCAGTTGGGCACCTTTCAGCAGCAGTAAATCCATCCTGCAGAGTGTTTGGCACAAAAGCAGCGTGAGGCTTTCGCTCTCTGGCTTTCTTCAGGGCTGGATCTCACCCACAGTCCCATAGCTGTGAGCCAAAGAAGATTTGTAGATGGAATAAAGTCTTTCCCTTCTATTTGCATTAACCAAAATGCTTTGGCATGGCTAATAACTGTAGGTACAGAGAGATGCCTGGAACAAATGTGTCTGGAATTAGGGAGGGAAAAGAGTATCTATACTTAGAGAGCAAAAGAAGAATGAAATGCTGTGCAAATTCATTCTGAGTGTGCCCTTGTCTGGCTGGTAATGTGCTGCAGGACAGGGAACGTGTTACTGCTGCTGCCCACCTGGCAAACACCCCAGCAGAGACCTCCAGAGGGAAAATTAGCCCCAGGTCCCTGTGGTTTGAGCTGATCTGGTGCTTGTTCTTCCTTCCTGGATTTAGTTCTCTCCCATCTTCAGTTTTATGTCTAGCAGAACTGCAGGACTGATGTTCCCAGGCAGCTTTGCCACGAACTGGAACAGGGTATCCATGACCATGGTCTCTCCCTTTCTGTACTGAGCCCTTGCTGTCCCCCTGCAGCCAGAGCATCCGTGCTCAGACCACGATCTGCTGACGGTGTTGCCTTGCTCTGTTTCTGGTGCCGCCAGCCTCCCATGTGAGCTGCTGCCCCTCTTCCTTTGACACGATGACGGCAACAGTCTAGCTCCTTTCTGCTGTCCTCATGAGGACGAGTTACATTTGGGTTGTTGTTGCTCTTATCTGACCCTTTTAGCTGAGCAGTGGCCTTTCTAGGCATGGGCTGGCTGATGCTTCACGGCCGCCTGCCCTCGCTGTGCCCTGCTGCTGCAGAGGAAGTGGTTCCCTCTGTGTTCCTCAGCTAAGAATTGTTCCCGATTCCTCTCAGCTCCCATCCTGTTCCTCAGCAAAGCAAACTGGTGGGTATTAATGGCACGTGGGAGGGCTGGAGCCACTGAAGAGAAAATCCTCTTCAGAGCCTTGGTCTTCACTCGCCATTTTCTGTGTGGCATCAACGACACGCAGCATTGCAGCTGCTCTGCTGCCTTCTGCCCTTGCTTCATTTCCTCTCTGAAGGGAAATCCTTGCATTGCCCTTCATCTGAACCCCGGCCATGTTCTGCTGTCCACGTGTGGCTCGCACACACGGTGCCTGATCCTGGCACCCTGAGCAGCGCGGGAGCCTGGGTGGATTTGCTGTTTGTCACAGACCACAAAACAGAGTCTTTTAGGAGTGTTCTGCCCCAGCCTGTGGCTACACCAGGCAGTCACTGCATGAGGGTGTTGGGCTCCTATTACTATATTTGATCCACAAGATTCCAGGGATCAGTGGTACCAGCTGTGCCCTACAGATGTGTCAGTCCTCTCCCCTCCCCATCTGCTCTCGCGGCTTTGTGAAGTCCAACAAGCTCATGGAATTTGTACGTGCTAAAGAGCGGATTATCTCCTAATCCCAGGGATGACATCAGGCCTGAGCGTGACCACAAATAACCGGTGAGGACATCAGTGGGGTGTGTC